GGGATAGTACCACAAAAAGAGTCTCTTTTACTTAGACAGTGCTGCATTTATGCCGAAAAAAGAGTCATCATGGACAGGGCTGAGAATGTTGGGAATATAGCACACACTTTTGGACAGTCTCTCCCCAAAGGAGACAAGGGGCATTTTAGCTAGCTCATAGTGAAACAACACGTTTTATGCTGAGTTTTATTTTTAATTGTTGATAGCAGATATATTGTGCATGTCTACTTTTTGTTATCATCTCAAACTTCCAAAAGACATCAATACTAAACATGAAAAGACAGAAAATTCCATTCTGGCTCCTCAGTCAACGTATTATATACTAACAGGACAGTTCATATGAGATCCTAGGAATTTGCAACCCACAAATGAAATTACATCCTCAACATACAGTTACGTAAATAACGTAAAATTAGATTAGGTTTGTTACTGTCATCAGTGCATTGATCACGTGATCGCAGCCTTTCAAAGCATGTGGAATATGTATGATTTTGGGTGTACTGCTTTTTGTAGGGAAAAAAATGTGAAAACAGCCTGCCTCAGTGGACGTATTTTGAATGTTCGACAAAGAGGTTAAATTAACATCTTTTGGATGTGTCTTTGCTCAGTGGGCAAACATTTCCCCAAAATTCAAACCCAATAAAATCAAATCTATTTCTATTTGACATAATAATATGAACTCAAGGTCTTCGTTGCATTTCACAGAGCTTATAACAGCATCCCACAGTCTTCATGAGCAGATGGAGTTATAATTGTATAGTGTTTTTTGCACTCTTGAATGACATCCCTTCATACAGTACAGTTACGGATGATAGGCAGTAATTTAATGTTTAATGCCTCAAAGAGTCTGCCCATTTTTAATTAAAAGCTCTGTTTTCGCCAGGCTTACAGGAACAGCACCATAGTGGCCAAACCGTTGAAGTACAACTTACATTGGAAAAGAGAGCTCTGTAAATCAGTGGATACATTTTTTTTAAGTGTTACAACCCCCACAAAACGGCTTGTTTCACTATCAGGATTTGATCCATTTTGTCTGATACCATTTCAGAAGTCTAGAACAGCCACACAAATGAATAATTTCTTCCCTATTCAAGTTAGCAGAGGGCTGAACTAGATATTAGCTGCTCATCCAGGAAAATCTCCAGTACGCTAGCTGTATGAGCCCAGTGATGCTGAAGATTTGGGTAATTTTATACCCTGGAAGTCAAACTTTTTGACTTTATGCACCACTAAGGAACTTCAATGGAAACAAACAGGGCTCCACCTCCAATGCTGTGTCCAGTTCTCTTTCAGGACACGCCATGTGGCATTACTTTTCTCTGACTCTCTCAATTCTGTGAGTGTTGTCTATTGTCTTATCTCTCCCATGTTTGTATCTCACTAACTGCCTTGAGTCGCAATGCTTATAAGATTGCACAGGTTTGACTGGTTGAGATGATTTTCAACGTAACTGGTCTGTGAGTTTCCCTGGTTGCTAAACCAGTGCCATAAAGGCTAGAAAAGCTGCGGCAGTTAAAATTTAAATGCTCCGTCAAAATTAAATAATTCTCAATACTTTATTAGTTATAGGTACAGGTTGGACAGGATGGTGTTTGGGTCTGGACACAGACCACAGTCCACATATTAATGACCTTAGAGGGGATAGGGAGGGATGGCAAGACACATTATGGTCTTTTAGCTATTAAGGGGGAAGGCATCCCCCCTCTTCCCCCCTTAAATCGCCCACTGGTTATAAATCAGATATATATGTATATTTATAAGAACATGAAATATAAGTTTTGTCTGATGATTTGAATTCCTAAAAAGATATGCCTTACCTTTTTGTCTGAATATTTACAATTATTCATTTAGCATGTTTAAATGCACAAGTAAGTCGACCTACGGTTACAGCTCCACCAGGCCACTTAATTGGACTACTGCCTTTGTCCCAGTATACAAGCACGGGAAGCAAGCATTTAATGCTATTTGACTTTGGGTCAAAGCTCGGGGTGGAAACTGTAGAGCATGCGCAGAGGCCAGTTTATGTCCGACTGACTGTATACATGAAGGAGTAATTCATCTCCCATTATCTGGGTGTGTTAGTCTGACTTTCAAAAATTTGAACAAGTACGACTTCAGTTGGGCTAACACGTTTACATGTATTTTAAAGTCCAGTCTTAGGCAGACAAACAAAATAAATCAGTTTTCTTTAATGTTATGTAAACATACTGAGAGTTTCTGCCACATGTGTGTTGGTGTCAGTGTGGAAAGGCCTTTGAACTGCCATGGAGTACTGTTACTCTCCACTGAAATTTGGGTGGTGGTATTTTTATGGTGGTTGTGGGATCAGCTCCTGAAATCAGGATGAATCAGACGTAATTGCAGGATTTATAGGCTAATACTGCTGAAGCTAATACAGTAAATCATTACTCATATCAGTAGTGAGCAACACAAATTAGCTGATACTATTTTTTACTGAAAGCATCAAACCAAGATATCAGCATCCTCTAATAGAGAGCTGTATAGAGGATGTACCCTGCAATTGTTTTAAAGAAAGTGGAAATACTAGGGCAACACAAGGTCCTTTATTAGACACGCCTGTGATGGGCCCAGTGTAATATCCTCATCATAATTGGTGCACAGATGTCACATATGCTGTTGACATTTCACCGAGCAGAAACAATTTGGCCGTGTGAAATAAGTGGAGGGCAGGGATAAGAGCTGAGAGGAGGGGGAGGAGGAAGACAAAGGGGGAGACCATAGTGCTAGTGGATAGAGGGGGTAAAAATAAATAAATAAAGGGAGATAAAGTTAAAGTGGGAGTGGGCTCAGCGTCAGTAAAGACAGACACTAATAGATTCTGGGAGAGGATGTGTCATTTTAACAGGACATTTTTATTAGAGTGGATGACACTATTACATGAAACACACCTCTGCCTCTTCTTAATCACTATGTCAAACAGCCCACATGAATGGATATTAGTCGTCTGTGTTTAGTTTGGTAATAAACGTGTGCAAGCATCCTGGCAATAAGAGAAATAGACATTCAAGACCATTCCTGTAAAGTATTTCTTGTCCAACTCCAGCATTAAGGGGCAAAGCTTCAGAAGTAATTCCCGATAAAATGCTGCAAGAAGTTTTATTGGACAAAGCTTCCAAGGAGTCAACGAGGGCGCTTGATCCATTTCCTACAGTGCTGGGAAGGTTGTCATTTTGGTGTTTTAAATAAATAAAGTCTTTGTTTTCAGAATACAAAATTCTTATTGCCAAATTCAGACAATAACTACAATTTTGTAGCTTGTAACGACGATGATTACAAGCTAGCAGCAACAATTGTCGGCTGTAATCTGATCCTACTTAGCGCCACTCTCTCTGCGTCGCTCTATGTCTCACTGAAATTATGAATAAAAGGCTTAAAGGTCCAGTGTGTAGGATTTAGGGGGATTTAATGGCAGAAGTGGTGTATAATAAGAATGTTGTCTTTGGTTTATAATAACCTGAAAATAAGAATTGATATGTTTTTGTTTAGAATGAGCAGTTTATATCTACATAGGGAGCAGGTCCTCGTTGAGATTGCCATGTTGCGCCACCATGTCCCTACGTTATAGTAACAAGGCCAGAACCAGGACAGTGGGTTTTGAGATAGTTCGAAATGGCTTAGCATTGCACAGCTTTAAATATTTGTCAGTGTGGGCATGCTTCACATTGTTAGCTTGTTTTGATTGTTCACATTTGAACATTCACATTTCCATTAATTTTACAGAAACCATGAGCGCAAAAGTATAGTTCATTCAGATTTACTGGTGTGGTAAATGAAAAGAGAAAACAAGAAAAGGTGAAGTAGTCCATTCTGCAACATTCTGTCTTATTTATATTCCTTTAGTCTGTAATAGCATAAAAGGGTCCACCGATCAAAACAATTAAATAGGTTTTTTTGATAAAGCTGTACTATAAACTTTAAAGTCCTTCTCAAAATCATGGCTTGTTGACAGTCATTACGAATGTCCTCTTTCCAACAGTGTATAAAACTCGTGTTTTGGGGTCAATGCGAACATGATAGAGCCAAGTCACAAATGTGCGTGAATTCAAAGAATGTATGTAAATTCAAAAACTACATCAGTGTGCAGCTTTACGTGATTCTTTTTTTTTTTCTTCAAAATGAATGTCAGCTCTTCCTCAGAGCATTTGGATTTATTTCCAGAAACACACCATTCTCACACTTTTTGGTATTTTGTGCCAACACCTACGGTGTATTTGAATCCTGCTAATTGGTCCCAAATGGATGTAACAAATCATGCTCTCAATCTGCCCTGCAGCCCTGAATAAATGCTGCGAACAGCCCGAGCTTGTCAGGTACCTGAGCTCCATCCGCCTTGTGCAGCTCCCAGCACTGAACTCAGCAGTCTTAACATCCAAGGAAGTCAAACGGAGGCGAGGCTCACTGTCCCCATCCCCTTCCCCCGCACCTCGGCTCCACCTCCCCCCTGGTAAACACTGGCACCGCTGCTTGCCGACCTTGTCTAACCTGCACATTGAGGGAGATAAGCAGCCCTCAGGACAATACAGGGAGAGTTACTGCTCTTACGCGTTCAACATAATCTCCACTTGGCACTGTGCTGAAAGGTCAAGCGTAACTGTGGCCCCCCCTGGCTGGAGCAGGACGGGCCGCTGCGGAGGTCGGTGGGGGTTTCTGTAAGAGCTGCAGGTGGAAAGGAACCCCGGCTTGAAACAGAGATAATTCCAGCCCACCCCCCCACCCCCAAGCCCTGCATTTCCCCCCTTGTAATTGAGTTGACTTGTTTCCTAGAGGAGAACCTTGCCTGCACACAGCAGTGCTGCAGCTGAAGGGGGGTGTTGGCACTGAGGTTACGCTTGCTAAACTAGAGATGTTGCACTGTAGTCAGGATGCTAGCGCTGCAGCTGGCTAGGCCTGCTAGCCTACAGCTCAGTGCTAATGATGAGATTCTTGCTTTGATGCTTATGTAAACCCTTCTCCCTCCTCTGTCTCTTTGTGTGGTGCAGGTTTTGTGTGGGAGACAAGTTTTTCCTGAAGAACAACATGATCCTGTGCCAGACAGACTACGAGGAGGGGCTGATGAAGGAGGGCTACGCTCCCCAGGTCCGCTGACCCTCATAGGCCTACGAGAAGGAAGAGGAGGAGGAAGAGGAGTGGGAGAAAGAGAGAGAGAGAGAGACTGATGGAGAGCTTGCAATCACACAACAAAAAGCACTATTGCCTCCTGTCCAGCTCCTGTCCCCCACATGTACATAACTAAGCAAGCTTCCCTGGGAGGGGAGGGGACACACTCTGCTGTACAGAATAGCCATAGAGACGCCAGTGTGGCAGGGAAAGGCCCTGGGAGCCTACAACAAACTACAAGTGTGAAAAAAATAGTTTGGCCATTTCTTTGTGTGTGATGGATGCTGCCTCTTTCCTCCTGGCCAACAATTACTGGCCTCAGAGCAATTTCTTACCAACAGCTGATCCCAGTTGTTGGAAAGCAAAAAAAAAAAAAAAAAAATTTAACCCACCCAAAAGCAGTCTTGTCTCATCTTACCTGACAAGGACAGACAACTTCTACTTGAATCTAAAACACTGAGGTATTGTCAATCAATGTAATTTTGAGATAAAGACCTTTTTACTGTACATCAGATTAAAAACACAGTGAATGTAAACTAAAGAGCGGCAAAAATAATGCTGATGACTAATTTGTTGGTGTGTATGTGTGCGCGCTTGCGTGTGTGTATGTGTGTGTGAGTGTGTGAGCATGTTGAGGAGTTGTTTGTCATGCAGTCTCGCAAGGCTTGGTCTGGTCCATATCGTCCTTTCAGAACCTTAAGAATCCAAAACTGATCACAAGAGTATCAACATGCTTTTAAATCACACAGCTGCATCAGCTCATGAGCATAAAATTAGAGTTTGCGAAATAATTTATGTGGTTCTCTGGATGGATAACAGCTCTCACACAATCACTACTAGGGCTGGTTATCAGTACCCATTACCTTTCAGGTATTGTCTGAAATTATCCAGTACTAGGTAGTATTGAAACTTCTCCAGTTAAACAAAACCTGCATTTTTGTACCTAGATCTAACAAAAAATGACTATTTGTATTGTGTTGCTCACAGCTGATTACCGCAAGCATTCTTCAGTTTATTGCAACATGTCACTAGCTGATTACTGCAGCAGCTACAACCCTTGGAGTCTGTTATGTGGTGAAGTTGAGAGTGGTGTATCTGATGGAGTTGGCAGTTCAGCATGCCAAGATTCCACCAAAACCTTGGAAAGTATGGCTATACTACACACCTTTGGTGTTTGGTGGCATTTATGCAACTGACTGCTTCCATTCACATGATAGGTATCAAATGAAGTAGACAAAAGAGGTCTAAAATTAAGAACTCTACAGGAATTGGTATCAATTCAAGGGCACTGGTATCATAAATTTTTTAACAATACCCAGCCCTATCACCACTATGCCACTAGAAGACAATTGACCCTTGAAGACAAGAGTCACATAGGCCTACTTTTCAGATAGTACCTGAGTGCAATTGGCCTTTTTTGCTCAAAGTAGGCAGCCTTTAAGTACATCAAAGCTGCACTGATTAGTATCTTTATATTAACAATGACTACTTCTAATGTGAAGGAGTCTCTCGTAGTGACAAACTCCAGAAAATCCTTACCTGACTTTCTAACTTTTTAGCCACTAGCCTGCTCAGTACCAAACAGCAGTCAAAGTTAGCGACCAGCTGGTGAAGTATAACATTTAGTGGCTAATGAGCCGGATATTTTTCACAGCAGCTGGTGGAGACCGAAACAGAGCTAAAAGTAGAGTGAATATTGGACTTACTTTCAACAGGTGACCAGAAACATAACTCCAATGAGATGCTAATGAGCCATCTTGTATTAATGTGCGTTTTGGTGATCTGAACACAGATGGACAGGTCAGACATACTGCCTTCACACCAGCTGACCACTTTTGTTCACATTTCATTGCTGCCTAAGTAACTTACACTAAAAGGTCAAAAGCCCCCACTGCACAGTTATTAAGCCCACACTCTCGCTAGCTGCTCACTAGCGTGCTAGCTAGTCACATTAGTGGTTGTGTTAGTACAGCTGGAGATGTCATTGTCAGCAGAATTCAACATGTTTCTGACCATTGGTAAAAATGATGGATGGTCAACCAACACTTTGTCCAATTCGTTGGAAAATGGACAAGTTATAGAACCTTTGCACGCTGTCACAAAAACAACCTGCATTGATGACATAGTCATTGGACCCATGGTTGTATCTAGATGGTAACCCCAGATTGGAGATTATGATCCATGTTTCAAGTCATCACCCAGCACCAGTGTTGGGTAAGGGTTACTTTAAAAGTAATCAAAGTACGTTACTTTTTAAAAAAGTAACCAGTTACTTTACTGCATTACTCCCTGAGTAAAGTAACTCAGTTACTTTAAAAGTACTTCCAACTTTACTCCCTGAGAAAAGTAATTCAAGCACTTTTAAAGTACTTTTGAGTATTCTACATTTCCTATTGGGCAATGGACCACAGGGCGCTAAGCCTGTCTCCAAAATTAAAGTTATGGACCATTTGCCCTTCACTGAGATCCAATTCTCCCATCACAGCTGTCACTTTGACCAGTAGAAACACAGAATTATTTGCTGCCTTATACAACTGTATGACAACAACACCCCAGCTTTTTTAATATTTCCTCTAGGGATGTTACCACACAGAGTAAAAGGGGGAAATGATGGTGTGAAACAGCAGAGGCACTTTGTCAACCTGCTGAGTTAACGTTACTGTCATTAGCATCAAGCTAGCAAACAATGGTACGTCCTCATGGTCGGACATAAAGTAATAACATTAACAAATAGCGGCGAGGCTTTTACTCACCACAACTGCAGAGGCTCCCAGCTTCATTTGAAACAAACTACATTATAGACAGTCCGTTATTTATTAATCCCTCTGTGTGTTTATATATTTACTTTTTATCCGCTCCGTTGTCTTTATAAAGTCAACATATCGCACCGTCATTTCGAGCTCAACACTTGTTTCAAATTAAAAGCCCCTTATAACCTCAGCTGAGAGAATCCCTCCATTTTCTAAATAGGCTTTTATTCTGAAACATTTGTCAGAACTTCACTTTTAGGTGACTACAACAACATGTCGGCTGGCACATGAACAGACACAGTGACTCAAATAATAGTGAAAGTAATAAAAATAGAACAAGAATAGCCCCATGACATCACACACGCTGTGAAAGACAACCGGGGATAATTGGTGAGTACCAGCGTGTAGCGTGTACCAGGCATAATGCAAGTCCTGAGTCTGAAATATGTCTGTCAGCAAGTCCTACTCCACCTATTTAGACTCCACCGTAGACAACGGCAGCATTTCTCCAACCACGTAGCGAGCCACAAGCTCTGTGGCTTCTTTCAGACTGATAGGTTTAACGTTATCTCCATTATTAGAACCAAACGACAGCCGTTGCTGTTTCGGAGCTGAAGGACCTGCGTTCCAAAAGTAACGGAAGTAACTGATGTCTTGTTTGAAAATGTACTTAAGTATTTGATTACTCAAACAGCAACCTAACATGTTAGGTTACTCGTTACTGCAAAAAGTAATCAAAGTACTCTAAGTACTCTCTAAGTTACTTTGTAACGCGTTATACCCAACTCTGCCCAACACTAAGTAAGCCACTAGAGGAAGCCAAAAAAATAACTTGTCATTAGGACTAACATTTTTATTTCTTAAACTCCATTAATCCTTTTAATACTAATTTCATTGTTTGATTCAAATTTTTCTTTTTGTCAATTGCATTGTTTAGTTTGATCAAGTCTTCTAATTTACTAATTCCCCCCACCTTTTTGATTTGTACACCTCTCCCCATATCATCTATGTGGTAGTGTGCTAACATTGAGATGATACCCTGAGCCAGAGCCTTCCAGATGCCTTTTGGTATTTGCAGTTCCCCAACCTAACCCCCGACCCTAACCATCTAATCCTAACTTTGATCATTTTAACCCAAACCATTATCTTTCTCTAACCCAAACCAAATGCTTGTTGTACCTCAACCTAACCAGACCTGAACCAAAGCATTGTCACACCATAAAACAGCAAAACAAAAAAACGGCTCAAGAGAGTTTTGCAAATCAAGGGTTAGCATCTCAACTCGTGCAGGAGGCATTAGCATTTACACCACAGAATATAAGTGGTCAAATACATCCCAGACCACCTCGTCAAGTGATTTGAGTGATTGGATCACAATGTGTCTTGGTGGCCATGTACGCTTGTATTTAGAACTGTCCACATGTGATCGGATCACCAAGATGCTATGTTTTCAGCTGGTTCTACTGCCCCCAAGTGTTAAAAAAGACAAAACAGTTAAAGCAGCTTTAAACGTTATGGACCAGACATTATGCCTGCAGATAAACAAATGCTTGTGTGAGACTATCGTTTCCTGAAATGCATTCCGTCAGAGCTACTTTCAGCAGTATTTGGGCAGCCCGGGTTTGAACTGTAACTCCAGGCTCTGTTCTTGGAAAAGAAGGCTGTGTATTTTTTGCCTGAGAAAGTCTTTCTATTTATTAAAAACTTGCTTTGTCACACTGGTCAAACTGAAATGTGGGGAAATGCTCATTGAGGCAGGTTGTTGTAGCGGTTGTAGGGGTGTAGGGATTGTTTGGGGGATGGTCGGGGTTGGTTACTTTTTGTACACTATTTATTTGATAAGCATTCAGTGCATCACCTGTTGTCCGAAATTTGGCATCGTTTGACACGCTGATACCTGAGTCCAGTCAATGAATTCTCAATTGCTGTTTGGCTTACGTTGAGGGTGGCTGTGTGATTTTCAACACGGCTTTGGGTTCAGTTGTGCTCTGCAGCAGGTTGTCACCTTAAGGCCCCGTCATCACACTCACGGTGGCTCCCTGCGGCAGAGGAGTTATGTCCAATATTAAATATCAGCATCTGAGCGCGTGTAACAGCGCTTAGCACCATTTCTTAGCTGGAAAAAAAAAAAACATTCTTAAATTTGTAAATTGTGGGTGTACATAAAAGAAATATTCATTTTTGCTTGCTATTGTACAATGATTTCTTTTTATGTGTCATCCAGCATGAGATGTTTATTTTTAGGACAACGCTTGTAAATACTGTAATTGTAATAATTTTAAGCACAAATGTAATACAGTTTTATTGTGTTACCAGTGAGTGTGGTGTCTTTTTTATCTCCCTCTTATGTTATTTCAATACCTGTCAGGCTGAGATTTATATCTGAGGAAAGTTTAGACTTTCATACTTTATATATCCATTTATAAGCCACTGTGTTTGCTGAAACAACTAAGGTTAAGTATCTAGCTCAAGGGCACAGCGTTAGATGCAAACCAGCCGCCAGAAAGAGCCTGTTCCCCGTCCATTACCCTAACCAGCAGAGCATGTTGCAGCCTATGATATATGATTGATCTAAAGTGCAATCATTTCCTCAGTTTGTTGTCTCCGCTGCTTGTAAAATGCCCTTTTCAGTTTTGTCCCGATGATAGGGAGCTCACAAAAAAACCTCAG